AATAGGTTATTATAATATTAAAATATTTTTTTTATTAATGTTTTTTTATTAAATTTTTTTTTTATTATGTTTTTTTTAATGTTTTTTTTTTTAATTTTTTTTATCTGTTTAAGTTTTTTTTTTTTTTTTTTAGAATGCATGTGTCATATTCTCAACCTTATCGTTAAAGAGGGTTTGAAAGAAATTAGTATATTATATAAAAAGGTTCATAAAATCATGAAATTCTTGGCTTATCCTCTAGCCAGTGATAGGTTAGAAATATTAGAATCACATTGTAGAATTTCCGGAATAAGGTTTTTAAAGCCTATTCTTGAAATTGATACACGTTGAAATTTCACACTAGCAATGTTCGAGAGATACCTTTATTTGCATTTGGCAATTCAAGAGATGAGCTTTAAAGAACCATCAATGCCCACTTGCTTAGATAATGAAAGCTTGACAGTTCTCAAGTCCTTTCATCAGCTTCTTAAACCATTTGAAATTGCCACATCAGTTCTTTCAAAAGACTAGTTAAATTCAATTTCCAACGCATTAATGGTTATATTGGAAATTGAACAGCACTTAACTAAATTTAGGAATAATAATATTAATAATAATTTAATGACCAAAAAATTTGAAAAATATTGGAAATCTATTCCCGAACATGTTATAATTGCTCACATTCTTGATTCATGATATAAGTTGGATCACTTGAAAGCAACACTAATTGAAGTCAGTGGTTATAATGATCATGATGCAGAAATGGTTGTCAATGATATTTGCAAAAAACTTATTACATATGGAGCAAAATATTCTAGCACAAGCTCTTCAAATTATGTTGAAGTTGATAATAATAATAACAATAATAATCTTACGCCCATATTCCCTAAAAGAAAAACTGCAAAAAGGCAAAAACAAATAGATATAATAGAATTTGAGTTAGAACTATATGAAAGTAAACTTCCTGAAGACTTAGATAATAGTAATAAAATAGAAAAAATAATGGGATAAAACTCTGAAAATCATTGTCATCAAGATTCCCAATACCTAGCAAAATGGCTCACAACTTTCTAAGTATTAAACCCTCATCTGTTTCTAGTGAAAGAGCATTCTCAAAAGCTGGTTTCACAATTACTAGTGATAAGGCTAATATTTGTAAAAAAACTGTTTCATGCACAATACTCATGCATTCTTGGTTAATAGAAAGCCAAAATGAGCTTAGCCCTTTTAACTCTATTTCATAATTTTTTTGTTATACAGCATATAAGTTAATTATACTACAGGTCGACCTAAGAAGATCATTGTCACATGACAGTAACATTTTTGGTAGTAAGAATCATCGTCATATGATAGTACTATTTTTGATAGTGAGCTAGGAATCATTTATATATATATAATAGTGTTGTATATTTTTGATCTTTTTTTACTTTTTTATGTCAAGAATGTTAAAGAAAGTTGTTCTAAGTATATAGCCAAATTTTAATTATCATCATTATATAAATTAGATAAA